GATGAGTCTTGTGCCTGAAGGATTATCTAAGCCTTCTACAAATTGAAAAGTTTTGGCAGCAAGGATTGGTCAGCGATTCTGTTTTCATAGAAAATAACAAGATAATAAAGGAACGAAAGTGTTATGATTAGTTGGATTAAGAAGTGGAATTGTAATGTCAATGTTTCACCAAGGGCTGTCTGTAGGAGGGGGGGGGGGTCAGACAGGTTTTAGAATTTCGAATTTCGGACAGAGCAGTAATGGTTATTCTTCAGGGGTAGCGAAAGAAGTGTTCTAGCTATCCGGTGTGGCTGGAAGGTGGTAAGGAGTGATTTCGAGGACGGAATCTAATTTAAGTGGGGGAGAGTTGTAACATCCGTTTTCTTGGATGAATCGAATTAGACTTTTAGAGGGTCAAAAGGTTGGGATTTTGGAGAAAAAGGGGTCCTCACGACGTGAGGCATGGATGCTCACAACGTGAGGAGAGCCGCATGAAGATTCTATCCGGGACTGAGCTCACGACGTGAGCAATAAGAGCTCACAACGTGAGGATCGCTTCAGCCCAAGCCCACAAAGTTTTAAGGTTTCCCACATATTTACACCCCCTTAACTCAGTTTTAGGGTTTATTTCTCAGCCTCCACCTTCCCTTAACTCAGAAAACCCTAACTCTAATCCATCTTGGGATTTCAGATCCATTATAGTGTTTTGGTGGATAGAAGAAGAAGAAGGAGGAGTTCAAGAGTGTTGGTTTAGCAAGGAGGCTTCATCATCATCTTGTGCACATTTTGGACCATTGTAAGTGTCCAAGATCAAATTTTATGAGCTCAAATTTCCAAATCTAAGTTCTAAGCTCCCTTTTGCATGGTTATGATGGATTGCATGCTTGGGATCCATAAAGTTGGCAACTTTATGGATCAATGAGTCATTCTATGTGATTTAGTATTATGGATCTAAAGTATGGTTATAATTTATGAATCTTGTTTGAGTTTGGGGCCAATTCTTGTCATTTGACCTAAGAGGGGTTTAGGACATGCTTGGGGCATGCTTGTCCATCAAGTAATCGTTTTTATTGGCCTTTAGAGTCCTTGTTAACTTTTGAAATAATTAGGATTGAAGGCTTAATGGATTAAGGACTTAAAAGTTGGATTTTTAGCCTCAGACCGCTCTCACGACGTGAGACACAAGGTCTCAGGACGTGAGAAGAATTATGTATCGATTCTGGAGAGCTAGTTGGGTCTCACGACATGAGGATAGGCCGTTCACGTTGTGAGGCAAGCTTAAGTGGTATTTCTTGACTGAGTTGGTTGGGTTGACTCGGGATGAGTGGGATTTGATCGAGTGAACTCTCACGACGTGAGTAAGGACTGGTCACGACGTAAGACGTGGTTTTGGGCCTTGTTGGTCCATTGGATTTCTGATTGTGGGCTATAGTTAGGCTGTGGGCTCCCTTGGTTTTGGTCGCATGATAGTTTTTGGGCCCAATTAGGAAGTTGGGCCATATTGGGCTTTAAGTTGCCATTTTGGGTTTTTTGTGCTTTTGGACTGGGCCATGGTTTTGGGCCAAGTAAGAAAAGGATAAAATGTTCTTTTACCCTTTAGGAAGTTGGATTATGGAGTGGGCCTCAGATTCTGGATTATCCGGATAATTATTGATTAATATTGTATTTTGTTAGTTGGCACGAGGTTATCCGGTTCAGCAACCCGAGCAGTCATTTGATTATTACCGGGTTGAGGTGAGTTTTCCTCACTGTACTTGCGGGTTGAAGGCACCAAGGTCGGCCCCTTATATCCTGTTATGTGATAGTATGTTATCGTGCTGAAGTGCTCTTTAGATCGGTATCCTGGTATATAGGATGATGTTATGCTTAGTGATCTGTAGATCTGCCTGATTGTTTGTAGACTGTTTATATGTTTGTCTATTCTATGGGCACATATTGTTGGTGGTTGAGGCTTTACTACAATGTGTGTGAGCCAACAGACTGGGGCCATTCCAACCCGATGGTTGATTGGGCTCGAGGGTATTCCATCCCGAGGATGACTGGACCCGTTATGTATATTGGCATTCCAACCTAGGGTATTCCATCCCCATGGATGATTGGACCCATAGGTTGGTTGGGCCTGGGGTATTCCAACCAGGTGGTTGACTGGAACTGACATGATTTTTATGGTATATGGTAAGATTGGACTGCTTCGTGCATCAATCAACAAGCCGAGGGTATTCCAACCTGAAGGTTGATTGGAACCGACATGTGTTGGTATTCCAACCCGATGGTTGATTGGACCAAACATGCTTATGATACGAGGGTATTCCATCCTGGCGATGATTGGACCCATCGTATACATGCCTGGTATTCCAGCCCGAGGCTGATTGGGCCAGGCATGAGTGTTTGTGCATGTAATTTGCTTATATGGTGGTACTTTGGGGGAACTCAGTAAGCTTCGTGCTTACAGTTTCAATTTATTGTTTCAGGTACTTCAGATGATTGTGGCAAGGCGAAGGCATGACTGTACACATCCTTGGTTTTCTGACTGATTGGATCTTGGGAGACTCTGATTTTAAATAATGTTTTGGAAATAATGGTTTTGTTAATACTTCTTTTAGTAAATGAGTTGTTTTGAAAAAGTTTAAATTGTTGTAATTTTTGGGATGTTACACTTTGTGACTTCACTATTGCTGACTTTCCTTTGATGAATTTGAATGATCTCATCACGATTACGAAGATTATGGGGGATATGAGTAAACATCAAGTTCAATACAAAGCTTCATACATCATTAGATATGGTCATATCAAGAGCTTTTTAGAGTGTTACATAGCTAATATAGCATTAACAAATTTTGAGTCAGCTAATGTTTTCAACAAGAAGTAAAAGGTTCCTAAGTCATTGATAAAAGGAAAATTCAACATTAATGACTATAAAGATGGTGAAATCATCAATTATCCTTTGGGAGTTGTCTTTACAGTAAAGAACATGAAAGGTGGGAAAAAGAAATTCTTCTTTCCTACCGACGATGTTGAAATGTATTCAAATCACAATCTTACTAGTGTTCTTCTTCGTATCAATAATTGCATGAAGAATATAAATGAAGGTAGATCAGAGATAAGGAAGATGGTCATGTGGTACATGGAGATAAGAAGAGTTTTTCTACAAGCGATCAAGACACTACCCTCTGTTTGAAGATTTGATATTGATCACAAAGGGGGAGAATGTAGAGTTATGTTTGTTGTGATATATCGAAGCTTAGGTAGTTATCTTTGTATCGTTGTGTTTGTCAGTGTCTAAGGTCTTCATGACTTCGACCGTGTATGTATATTACTGGGCACATTTGTAGGTTCGTTAATTAGTGTCGAAATCCTAGTATACATTTTGCATCCGTTAAGTACTCCATAAATTGAGTAGGTACATAAGTCAGTTGTAACTTTTGTCATTGTGAGCACTGTTTAAATATAATTATATATTAATTATAATTATACAATAAAACATTGAGATTCTAATTATGTCATAATTACACCGTCAAGTAGGTTAAGGTTGGACGATATCCAATTAACCTACGTTGAGTATAAAAGTTCACTCATAGACAGCCTACTCTACATATAAGAATACCTCCTTATCCTAAGTATAATCCTAAGATATGAATATACTAATAGGACATAGGACGAATGAGGATCATGAAAGCCATAATACCTATGAATAGTAGAATACTATTTTCAAAGCAAAGAATCAAAATACTTTTTACAACTTAAAAAAGTGATGTACAAAAAGTATTTTCAATGTATAATATACAAAACCTATGAACTCACCAGCATTATGTTGACCTTTCAAAACCACATGTATTCTTAGGAAACCAAGAGATGGAAGATTGCACTTCTGGCAGCAGTTGATCAACGAAGCTACCAAAGACTTACTATCATTATAGTTATGGCTAACTTCTAAGGCACCTTTTGTATTAGACATTCTAGTATTTTAGAAGTATATTCTGATGTAATATTTTTATCCATAATGGAAGTGATATTTATGTTATTGATTGTTTCGTACTGTTCAATGTATGTTCAATAATATGTGATCCAACGTCCTAACGTCGTACAACCCGATGTATCTGCCGCCGACCGGGGATGTGACCGTTTATTATAACTAGTTTATAATTGTTCAAAAATACTCAAGTATTCCGTTGCTAAAATCTTGTATTAGAGCCACCTTGCAAGTTTTGTTAGATTTTATGATTTTTTAAAAATCTTAGTTTTTGGAAAATATGGATAACTTGTTTTTGTAAGAAAATGAGTTCATACATATTTTCTATAACAACTTTATAACTGTTATTTTTATATGACAAAAGTTTCATACATATTTTGTCATTTAAAGTTGTCTTAAAAAACAAAGGTTGTTTTATGTGTATGTTGATATGTATGATGTGTATAAACTAGCCAATAACCATTGTGTTGTTGTGTTTGTTGTGTTAGTTATAAAAATGGTTGTAATATTTATTTATTCATATGGTATTTAATAAATTAAAGACAAAACTGCAAATTTAGTCCCTGTGGTTTTCAAAACCTTTGGATGGGGTCCTAAAAGTTTCCAACTTGCATCGAAGATCCAAAATCAAAGTTTTTCTGGGTTTTTGGTCCTTGATACACTTGAAAAGATGATTTTACCCTTTTCATTTTATTTTTCTATTTTCTTTATTTATTTTGGTATTTAAATAATTAAAAAAAACTAAAATCTCTCTCTCTCTCTCTCTCTTTCTCTCTCTCTCGTTTGCATCTTACCATACAAATACTACCCCTCCTTCTTCTTCTTCATTCACGGCCAAGATAATCCACAGGAGGTGGAGCCGTTTTTCTGACCACCAAGACAGCAACAACCCAAACACGCCCTCCTTTGTATCTCTTGCCCTACTCCGACCCCCTGTCACCTTCCCATATACGCCTCTCGTCATTCTCGTCAAGCAGAAACCCGGACACAACAACAGGAGGCTGCCGGAGCAACCTCTGCCACCCACGGCCGCCATTGGTTGTGGTCGTCATTACCCTCCTACCACCACAGTTTTTGACCACCACCAAACTCTCCCCTCCTCCCTCGTCTTCCCCGTCGTGTGCTGCCAGACACAAAGGGAACAAGGCAGTGGAGCTGTTATTGCTAGCCACCCGTCACCGACCACCACTTTGTTGCTGCCACTGCTGTGAACCATCGCCACCTCCGAATGCTGCTTCCGTCGACCCTCTCTGTCCAACCACCACTCTAATTTGAAGGTGATTGCCTTCCCCCTCTTATTTGCTTCGTCCGATCGAGACAAGAGACTCATTGTGATGAGATTGTTTCCAATCGATGTGGGTGCTTTGCGTTAGAATGTGTGTGTCTGTGTGTTTGGGTTTCAATTTCTTTCTATTGCTTGATTTTGGCTTTTGTTCATCAATTTGGGAATATTAAAGATGAAGTCCATGAGATTTTTGAGAGAGAGAGAGAGAGAGAGAGAACAGTGGGTGGGGTGGGGGATACTTTTTTTCTTTTTTCTTTATTTTTTTAATTAAAACAGCATTAGAATAATTATAAAAAATATAAAAAGGAAAATAAAAGGGCATAATCGTCTTTTTAAGCTTTTTTGGACCAAAAACCCATAAAAACCTTGATTTTGGACCTTCCATGCAAGTTGGAAACTTTTTGGACCCCATCCAAAGGTTTTTGAAAACCACAAGGACCAAATTTGTAGTTTTGTCTAATTTAAATAGATTGGTTTTCTTGGTTTATTTTATAAGTAATAGATTAGTTTTTAGAAATAATTTATTTGTACAAAAATATAAAAAAATGAAGATGGAGCCACTTTTTGAAGACAAAAAGGTGATTTTCGAAGTTTATAAGCATGATGGGAAAATAGTGACAGTTTCTGTAAACTGTCACTAAAGCTGTTCTATAAGGGCTGTTAGACCTTTTGCGACAATTGCTGAATTATTACATTCAGAAAGTTTTTCCAATCTTTTGCAAGCAATGTGTGTTTTCTCAAGTGAGAGCTTCTACAACAACATTACCATAAGATTTTTGTTTCCATTAAATGTCCCTTTAGGAATGGACATAAACATCTTTTATGTTGGCTCACAAAAATGTTACTAGTTGGTTATGTTTATGCACATATGTTTTATACATGCTCGTGTTGTTTATTTTTTATGGAAATATTATGTGTGGTTGATAAATTAGTTTTTTATATGCTAAAATAATTTCGGACTAAATAAACATCACATGGAGTTTAGTTTTCAAAATTTATATTGTGGACATAAGATGTAACAAGTTATTGTTTTAAAATAGAAACCGGTTTTATAAAAACGTTAATAACGGTAAATTTTGAAATACTAAATTCTAAGTTTTAAAATGGTGATTTTGTAACTTATACAAACTCCAAATATATAAGTAATAAAAGGAAGTTTTAGTAAAGATATAAAAGGTTCAAAAATGATCAAACTCAAACTAAATGTCGGTTGTTAAGTATTGAATTGCGTCAAATTATATAAAAACTAGCTTTTTATATAGAACCTTTAAAATTGATTTTCTTTTGAAAATTGGTACCATGACTTATTATATGCATGTAATAACCATTATATTATATTTTATCAAAACTAGAGTTATAAAACATAAAAAGACCCCTTAATAACCTCAAATAAGTGCACTCTATTTTAAAGAACACTCGCATATCTCTTGTATACACTAGTGGGATAAATGTCACCTAACCGCTTAGTGTTATCTTTTGATGGCCGATGTGTATTTGTGATTTCTATAACCAAGTTATAGGCCGATTACACAAGTTTTTCAAATTGGATGATTTGCTCGGAAATCTTTCGTGATAAAGGATACCTAACCAAGAGAGTTCTGAGGCATAGATGGGATCAAACATGTCTAATTAAATTTGTTGTTAGTGATCCCATAAATCTAGAAATTATATAGTAAGATATAATTGATAATTAATATCTACCGGGTTGGATTCAAATAGGTGGGATAAAGGATACCTAACCAATTATTTGTTTTGCAACTTGGATGCTAGACTTTGATAATTAATGTTTTTAGAAACTGAAAGGGTATTAGATATTAAAGGCTTAAATATTGAAAATACTAATTGAATTTTGTTAAATATTTTGTAGATAAATAATCTATTCTCATGACCATGAATTGTCGTTTTCTTTAATGACTTAATGAACCAATAACATTCAATAGATACAACTTCAATGAATAGGTTCATGTCTTGAGAGGCAATCTCGTAAGAGATGTGAAATTGTATACACTTAAAGGTCCTAATCCTAAACTTCTTTCTTTGAGCAATAGACTTGTACATGATACCTAGTAAAGGCATCACTGTGATGCTAAAGATGCTTCTAACATCAAACTAGGAATAGTTATTCCAGACTTCCAGGAAGTCTTGGATAAATTGGATATATATATATATATATATATATATATATATATATATTATATATATATATATATATATATATATATGATATAACATGTTAAACAATATTCCAATGAATACAATGATATTTTGTTTTGAACTAGTTCAAACATCAGAATAGTGTAAGGCTAAAAAGAGTCACATTGTGTGATCAAAAGGCCCATGGTTTACGGACTAAACACCTTTAAAGCCCAAGAAATCCAATAAGGACCATATAGATGGATCTTGTTTCTTTTGTGGAGAAACTAGACACTGGAAGAGGAATTACTCCTCTTATCTAGAAAGAATGTCTGGAAGAGACTAGTACGTCAGGTATCTACTAGATAGAACTCATACATTTTTCATGTAACACTCAAGTCCTTGATACTTAAATGTTAATCTAATATTTGTAAATGGCTTGCAGATATTTACAAAAGATTAACCAGCTGAGCAAAATCAAGTTGGAACCACACTCTTGTAGTTTAGTTTATTAATTATGCTAGGAACATAAACTTGTATTATGAAACATTGTTTGTTTTGGAACAATGTATGTTTTAATTTAGCTTATCTAAATATATGTCTTAGTTAATTTATAAATGATTGACCATTTACTTAAATCGTTTTTCATAATGATCACCTTAATATTCGTTAATGATTAAAATTCTTTTTATGATAGATCTCTTAATGAGAATTATAAGGTAATTATCAATGTTTCATAAATAACAAGTTCTATATGCAAAGTATTTTTGACTTAAACTTGTTTTGAATCAAACTCATCTTTGACATTGTTATCTTTATTATATAAATAGCATTCACATATTCAAACTTCAAGAAAGGGATATTTAAAGGAAAATAATGTAGTTTATTTCACATATTTAAATCTTATTTATACATAAAATATTCCTAATGATATTTTCACTAAGTAGTAGAAAAAATAAAATTATTGAGAGACTATACACTGTGATGTATGACTTCCTTTCTAATGAATGTCTAAGATTTAGCACAAGATACCAAATCAACATTATTAACAACTATAGTAGTTATAATTATATTTTACATGGTAAAGTATAATTATGAAATCTTAATTAAATATTTCAAATCTAAAGTTGAGATACAAACCGGTAAGAACCATCTAAAGCCTTAGTGATAACAAAAGATGAATTAAATCTTACTTTATATGATTTACTTTCTAATCGGTAGAAATGTACTCCTTTTTTATTTTATTGGGATAACACCTATAACACTATCAAATGTCCTTTGAGTATGAATACCAAATAATAAGTAAATAAATTATTTTCTTTATAAGATTTAGTGTGGAAAGGCTCCATCTCTATCTTGTTTAAATGTTTTGTGGATTTGAAGCCTATGTTGGACTAAAGCTTCTAAACCCAAGATCTAATAAATACATATTTGTTATATGTAAACCCACTAAGAATAAGTTCACTTATTCTTATGAAGGATGAGTTAGTAGAAAGCAAGCTTCTAATGACAAAGCAAGTGAGAGACACATGGAACTTAAAGCAGATGAAGAACCATAGCCTGATGTAGTATTAGTTGGCACTGGTTTTATCAAGGGATTGTTAAACTTGAATAATAGCTATTCACAAACACAAATTGTTCGCATTAGTGGTGGAAATCATCCATGACTTGAGAAATATGGAATCTCTCATTGATGAGCTCTTCTTGATGGTTTCTAGCAAATCCATCAACTACCAAAATGCTATATCATATCTTAAATATTTTAAATGACTTAGAGTCATGAACATGAGATATAATCCATGTATAATAATCAAGTATGGTATTCATTGAACTTCCTTCCTATAGCAAGGCTAGAAGGAATAAGTAATTCTTCTAGAAAGAATACATTACATGGATAACGGTACACATTTAAAGCAAGACTTGTTATAAATGGATTTTCTCATACTCATGTCATTGACTATGGTCCTCATCATACTCATGAAAATGACTATGATCAAACTTTTTTTTACAAGTAGCTATGATTAGATCAACACGAATATTATTTACTATAAATTCATATTCTTAATATGAGATATAGCAAATAGATTTCAAGAAAGACCGAATTTCTTAATAGACATCTACTAGAAGATATCTACATAGATTAGATTGGAGGTTTTCTTAATCCATGTTGTCCTAGTAAAATGTGTAAAGGTTGAGATCCACTTGTGGATATAAAACAAACATCTCAAGGTTGCAATCATCATTTTAACATAAAATCACAAGGTATGGTTTTATATCAAAATGAATAGAACATGTGAATTTACTAAGAACTAGTGGAAGAATAGTGACATTCATAATCTTGTATGAATGAGACATACTTAATCATGAGAAATTACATTCTGACCATGCTAGGCCTTTTCACCTTGACTCGGAATGTGTTTGTAAGATGAAAGACTTAGGAAGGACAAGATTCATTCTTGGAATGTAAAATCTATAGAGATACATAAAGATGAATGTTAAAAGTTTTACATATTTATGCATATATTGAAAATATCTTGAAAGAGATCAAAGTAGAAAATTCCTTTGGAGGAATCTTGGCATTGTCACATGACACTAAGTTTGAGCCAGCCTCAAAAGGACCTAGCTCATAGGTTTGAACTAGCTGAAATGATTTATATTCGATTTTCTTGGAAATTGAATCAATTATTTATGCCCTATTATGCATGAGACCTAGTATATGAATATTCTATGAGCATATCAAAAGATACTAATTGAATACATGGTTAAGACATTGGATGACTATGAGAACATTCTAAGAGTACTTAAGAAGAACTAAGAAAATGTATATGAGATAATTAATTTAGAATAAAATCTTCATGTAAAGAGATACATAGGATTCTAATTTCTAAACAAATATAGATAATTGTGAATTA